ATTAAAAATTTTATAAACACACTTCAATTACTTACAAAATTATATATAGCAAACTATGTCCCACGCTTACATCAAAGTATTATGAACATTTGTAACATTCGATCTTGGCCGTTAGTCTTTAATAATAATGTCTATGGATAAAAATATTTTCAATAATTTACAAGAATTAGACAATATAGAGATAGCTTGTGCATATCAATGTGATGTAGAAGATTTAAACAAATATTTAAAATTTAGAAATACAGACTTCACAATTGTATCCCAGAATATAAGAAGTATTTATTCAAATTATGAAGATTTTCAACTGACATTAACTTCTCTACAAGTTAATGCAGACATATTAATATTAACAGAATGTAGGATTCAATCTATTAAACCTATTCCATGTCCAGATAACTACCATGTTTATAACACTTATTATCATGTAAATCAAAATGACGGAGTAGTGATTTATATAAAAAAAAATATTTCATCTCATGTTAAAGAAATAAATTTGGTACATGCGTCTTGCATACAAATCCAACTACAAAACTTAGTAATACTGGGCATATATAGGTCACCATCTAATACCAATGCAGAGCAATTCATCAGTTCTCTTAGTGAACATTTGGACTCGTTAAAAAAACATTCAAATATTGTAATAACAGGAGATATTAATATAAATATAACACCTAGACTTACAGAACAAACATATGAAATAATGAATAGGTCGAACTACTTAAATATGCTTTCTACGTATGGGCTATTACCGGGACATCATATCCCTACAAGAGAGAACAGCTGCTTGGATCATTTTATACTAAAATTAAATCAACAAACTATTTTTGCTCAGATTGCTGTATTAAATACTACTATCACAGATCATGCTATGATATTACTAAAATTAAGTAATATTAAACAAAACGCAATTAATGTTAAAATTAAATATAACACTGACTTTCATAAAGCACTTGCCAGTCTAGCTCAAAAAAACCTATCGCACCTTCTTTTTAGTGATAATCCAGACTATATCATATATCAATTAATTTATAAAATAAGAGAATCAATTGAAGAAAATACAAAAATAGTAAATATTCCTAGTAAGAAGCGACAAATTAAACCATGGATAACTACCGGTATTTTAAAATGTATACGAAATAGGAATTGTATGCAAAAAAAGCTAAGATCGGATCCTTATAATGAAGTATTAAAAATTACATATAAAAGGTATCGCAACTATGTTACTAAATTGATTAAGAAACTTAAGCGAGAATATGAAAGGAAACTTCTAGCAATATCAACTAAATCAACTAAATCTCTCTGGAAGCACATAAAAGACATAACTTATAGAAAACAATCACGTGATAATAGTTTGGACTTATTAAGTACGAAATCCTCACCGGGTGATTCGATTGATAAAGTGAACGAGTACTTTGCTAGTGTGGGTAAAAATCTTGCCGAGAACATAAATACTAACAATCCTAATATTTGTTTATCTTTTTGCCATATTGATCAAGTACATGAAACTGTATCTGTAAAAGCACATTCTTCCTTTGTAATGATGGAAACCTATCCGGAAGAGATAAATAGTATTATTTCAGGTCTCAAATCAGATTCCGCCCCTGGGTGGGACAATATTTCAGTGGGTTTTCTCAAGATGGCTAAACAATTACTTGTCCCCATCTTCTGCCATTTTGCTAATATCTGTTTTGAAAAAGGTGTCTTTCCGAAGCTGTTGAAACGATCTATTGTAATTCCGATTTACAAAAGTGGAGATAAGAAAGAAGCTAGCAATTATCGACCAATCTCTTTGCTACCTGTGTTCTCTAAGATTTTGGAAAAGTTAATTAACAACAGACTTATACAATATCTCTCTAAATTTGACATTCTAGCAGACTCTCAATTTGGCTTTAGAAAGGGATGCTCTACGGAAGATGCAGTTGCTGCGTTGAGCTCTCAAATTGTTAATACCTTAGATAACGGTAAAAAATGTCTTGCTGTCTTCCTGGATTTAAAAAAAGCCTTTGATACTGTATCAATCCCTATACTTATCAATAAATTAGAATGGATTGGAATCAGAGGTATACCTCTAAAACTATTAAAGGACTATCTCTCTGACAGGATGCAGACGGTAAGAGTAGGTCAATACTCTAGTAGTTATATCAATGTAAATTATGGAGTACCGCAGGGAAGCGTCTTGGGCCCTACGCTATTCTTAGTATATATTAATAATCTATGTAGTATGAGTATGAACAGGGGGAGAGTTTTCTCATACGCAGATGACACTGCGATGTTGTTTTGGGGAGACACGTGGGAAGAAGTGCAGTTAATAGCGGAAAAACAATTAGCTAAGGTTGCTCGTTGGCTTGACAACAACTTACTCACTTTGAATGTTAGTAAAACTCAATTCATATGTTTTTCTATGACTAGTCGATCACAGCCAAAGGATGATTTTAGAATCAAAATACATAAATGTAACAATCCTTCCAGAGGTAGTAACTGTACGTGTACACCTATTGGAAAAGTTTCATATACAAAGTATCTGGGCGTTATGGTGGATCAGCGACTTTCTTGGTACAGACATGTTGAATTAGTATCTAGTAGAATTCGAAAGCTCACTTGGATATTTAAAACTTTAAGACATGTTGCCACTTTACATCTTTTGAATCAAATATATGTAGCGCTTGCTCAGTCCATTATAATATATTGTATACCAATTTGGGGAGGTACTTACAAAAGTAAATTTATTGAAATTGAGAGAGCTCAGAGATGTCTACTAAAGGTTATGCATTTTAAACCGTACAGGTACTCCACTAGCATTTTGTATTCATCATGTGGGCTGATTTCGGTGAGGCAGTTGTACATATTACACACTTTATTGAAAAAACATAAGTCTTTGACCTTTGATCCTATTTACAGTAGTAAAAGAAGAAATTATAGCGTAGCTCCTATTTGGAGAACGAAAACCACCTTTGCGAAACATCAATATGACAAACAATCAGAACACTTATACAATCAGATTAATAAAATATTGCAAATATATCCATTAAAGACATATGACTGTAAGAAAAAAATAATGCAGTGGCTTAAGACACTTAATTACGATCAAACTGAAGCTTTATTACAATTTATCTTATAACACATTCACTCACTGTCTTTTTTAACACATGCACACATGCACACACAAGCAAACGCACGCACACACAAACACACACACACACGCGCACGCGCGCGCGCGCACACACACATACACGAACACACTCACACACACACACACACACACACACACATACACGAACACACACACACACACACACATACATACACACACACACAGAGAGAGACACACACATACCCTGTTTCTTTTTTGTTGAATGTATTTAGTTAAGGGAGGGCGAGGACCTTCTACCACAAGTATCTTTATACTTAAAAGAAGTCCTCAAACTTGTACTAATTTAAGAATATGTTGGAAACAATAAACTTTCATTTCATTTCAAGAAAAGAGCCTACTCCTTTTTAAAAGGGCGGCAACGCAGCTGCAATGCCCCTGGTTCCCCTGGTGCTGCGGTTGTTAAAGGCCGGCAACGCATCTGCAATGCCCCTGGTTCCCCTGGTGTTGCGGTTGTTCATGGACGGCGGTAGTCACCATCAGATGAGCCGCATGTTCGTTTGTTGCCCCCTCTCCTATAAAAAAAAACAACTGTATTAATAGATAACAGCTTTAGTTTTATATTTCGTATTCTAAAAAAAATATTTTAGATAAATCAGTATACACTAATTATTGTCTCAAATTAATTTTTTATCGAAAATCATTTGACACCTTCCCACATAGCCTAATTTATTAACGGGGCTAGGCGGTGCCGGTGCGTCATAAAAACCGATTCGACTAGTGCCTATTATAGATTTATTTCGTGGGTATATAATTTACTTGCTATCTAAACATTTTATTTTATGAAAAATAAGTAATATTAAACTTGAAAAGTCATAAAAGAAACTTTTATGTAATATACATTTTCATAAATATTTACATTCAATTTACCGCATTTAATTAACAGTTGGTCAAACATTATGAAGACTATAAAAACAATATTTTGTAGTTGAGTGGTAGATCAATAAAAAGTAAATTTCACAGTACGCGAGCAAGCCGGGTTCGATCCCCGGCGGCACCAATGAAATTGTTAATTGCAATTTTAAGTGCTGATTTACCACGTGCTCGGCGGTGAAGGAAAGCATCGTGAGGAAACGGAGGAGGGGGTGCATGTCTGAGAAATACCAAAAAAATATTTCGAAGACATGTGAAATTCGACAACAGCAATTGTTGCAGCGCGGAGGACATTTCCTTGCCCTAAAACCCTCTCAGAAATTACAGGAGGTCTGTACCCCGAAGTGGGACGTAGTATAGGCTGTAACTTTAACTTATAGTTTCATTCGTCGTGAGTTCGCATCATAAGGGAGCTCAAAATCCAGGGTCTTGTAAAATCTTACTAAATCCTAAACCTACACAAAACTGCGCCTCGGAATTAACCCTTCTTCTTTTCTTTTTAGCACGTACCCACGCACTAGGATTTTCTCCTGTTAATTCAGTTTACATACATAAATTTCACAGGGACGAACATTCAGACCCGAAACAAAAAAATACTTGTACCATGGGGGACTTGAACCCGCAGCCCTCAGCGCCACAACTCATTGCTAAGTCACTGCACCACAGAGCCGTCAAATAAACTATAATCTTATGATCAATAATTTAAGATTTTGTGCAACCGACTTCAATATAAGTTATTAAGAATAACTCAAAAACTACTCGTATTGGTCTGACCTTGATCAAATTCATAATGGGACCACACGAGAAGTATCAGCTTTCATATAAAAAAAGAATCATCGAAATAGGTTCACCCAGTAAAAAGTTATGAGGTAACACATTTAAAAAAAATGCAAAAAAAAATACATACAGTAGAATTGAGTACCGTCTCCTTTTTGGAAGTCGGCAGAAAAATTTATCTCCCCCTTTCTTATTGTTACAGGGATGATTGGGCACCGCGCTTTATACCCACTGGATCGCTATGGCCCCTTGGTAAAAACTGGTCGTAACTACCCGACACGGCCGCCACTACCACCGGATCAAATCTATGATCCTTATAAGCAAACCATGATATTCTTGGGGTAAATATATTTGTAACAGTATATATAATATTACACACCATCTTATACATGTAGCGTACGATACTATGTTATAACAAATAAGTAAATTATTGTTAAAATAAAAAGGCCAAGTGCAAGTCGGACTCGAGCATGAAGGTTTCCGTACCATCGTACAAGATTTAATATTATGTAGGTTAAAAATAAGATATTAGTAGGAGCCATTAATTTTTAATTTATTTTTATTTTTATTAATTATTTGTTGTTATAACGGCAACAGACATACACACAGTGAAAATTTCAACTGTCTACCTATTCATATTCGTATCATCATGAGATAGAGCCCGCTGTCAGACAGACGAACGGACAGCGGAGGCTTAGTAAGAATAGAATAGAAGAATAGAATAGAATAGAATAATTTTTTATTCAATATCGATTTTTACATAATTCTTATTGAAAGTAATTTTTTATCTACCACTGGGTAGTAATAATAGGGTCCCGTTGGTAACCCTTCGGGTACGGAACCCTAAAAACTAAGAAACCGAGTGCAGTGATCTCTGATCTAACTAAAAATAAATAAACTAATAAATAAGTTCTCAGACAATATCATGTAAATAATCATACGACAAATTATATATGAATTCGGGAAGTAGCCCAAGATGCTAATAAATGCCTTACTAAGAGACTTCCTTATATACTAAAAATGTTGCAGTTGGCTCTAATTACAATATAAGGGCAGAAATTTCAAGCCTTCAAAGTTTATTATATAACAACATCAAATACCAACCTTACCGACAAGATATTCGAACCAAAGAAAAGGCTCAATAGCGACCGTAAAATATTACTATGTATCCATTGACACATGCTCAACCATTATTACTAAATCAGGAAATCAGCATTACCAGTGCAGTTTGCGCAGCATTTAGCAATACGTTTGCCTGCCCAACGTGACGAATTTGAGCAAAACTTCTTTCGGCAGATTCAACAGTTGATTCAAAGGATATATGTATGGTTCTGGGTTAATCTATTTTCTCTGGTTTTCGACACATACGGAAAAATAAACAAGTAGTAGGACTTCTTTTCTGCCTGGTGGCAATAATACACCATTTCAGCCTAGGACGCCGTCTAGGTAGGTCCTATTTATGCTGCTGTTCGGCGGCAGGAGTAGGCGGTGTGTGTTCTGGTCTAAAGGGTACATAGCATGTTTAATTGCGGGCTGTGAGCCATTCCATCTTAGTCCTGAGACATGAAAACGCCAAGCCAAGGTAGGCTGTAAATTCGTATATCACTTTAATTTTATAAAAAAAAATGTATCCACTCGGTCGTAGTAGTTGCGGGCAGAAGCATAAAATTAATAAAATCAATAATCGTCTTTTTGTATTGTAAACTATACTTAATGATTAAACGAACTTACATACCTTAAGTGAAGTTCTATCATAATTATACGAGGTACTTAGTCCGAAGAGATTAGTAACTAGAACTTATTAAACACATGTAGTATCATGTCTAGGTTTCACCACTCGCACTATAGTTGAGAATCTAAAAATTTAAAACCCCCTCCTTTCCCCTTCTTCCTCTGGTCACGGGAGTGGGGTAACCCACTCCGCTTACCATCCATAGATTGTGTTCTCGATACGTCCTTAAATTTAGAGCTAAACACAAACATTTTGATATTTTCTGGATAAATTGGGTACCGCAGAAGGGCGGGCGGAAGTGAGTTAATAATATCTGCGGACGAAGCACCTAGTATAATTATGATAGAACTTCACCTATGCTAAGTTCGTTTAATCATTAATTATGCTTCTTCCTCAAGATTAGTAACTGGTACTTATTAAACACGTGTAGATATTGAAATATCAAAATCCATATAAGAAGGGTAAAACTATTTTGTATTTACTTGCCATCAAATATGTGATAAATACATGCTCGGTATTTTTTATAATATATATTACAAAATTAGCTTAATATTGTATAGGCATATTACAAAGAGGGAAAATTTTAAGCAAAATTACATTCCATCGTTTACCGTGAAAATCCATTGTGTTCAAACGATAAAAAAAAACATTTTAGTGAGAAACAATCTTTATGAATAATAAAGAAATCAATATAACCTACACACACAAGGGGGTGGTCATATTAGAAATTTGATACGTCTAGAAGACTTCTTTGACAATTAAAATTTTAAATATTGTGTGAAACCCACACTTAAAACTTATGCGTATGTAAACTTTTTGAATTAATCTGTCTGATGATAAAGTCGAAGTGTAATATTTTCGCCACAAAATAACTACGTTCTAATGTTAGATTAAAGTGCCATTACGAATAGCCGTACAAGAGGGTAAAGATTACGTAATCGTTAAAAATAACACAATGCACTCAACATTGTATTATTTTACAAGTGATTTAATTAGATCGGACGACACTTGCGAGCATTAACTTTTCGTCGTTATAAGGTATTCCCATTATAAAATACACATCGCATGGCCTTACAGAACTATGCCAACGATTCTGCCATTGTTTCTGCTGCGCTTGTTCTAAGTATTCCATCTGCTGGAATAAAGTAACGATTTAAAAATAAAAAAGGTTGCGAGAAAAGCGGGATAATTCTGAAGTTAGCAATTTGTTAAAATAGACAATTAAGGCTGAGTTTGCACGTAGGTACAACAACAATACAGTTGGCTTTGATATATTTTCCTAATCGTTATCAGTATCACCGAAAATGGAGGAAATGCGTGGGATTAATATTTAGTCTAGCAAATGGTGAAAGCATTTATGACATAATGCGCACTTTTTATTTAAAAGTTTATCGAAAAGATTAATCTGTGGTACACAAATTTTATATACAATTTTTTGAAAGGCCAACTTTGTTCATGCCTCTTCATTATATGGGAGATTCGGAGTTTGCTACTTTATTATCACTAAATTTTATACAGTATTCATAAGTATCATTTTCTAGATTTACACCATTGCAGAATGATTCTTGTAATTTTATTTAATCAAGAATATTGTACACCACCCATTCTGTTATTTTATCTACCTATTTGCGCATCGTTTGCAAATCTTTTGCAAACACTAAACTAAAATATGCTACTAGTTAGCCCTTAATAGCAAATATGCATTCTTCTTTAGACAAATTTTCACTATTTAAGATCACAGGCGTGTTTAGATGATGATGTGGTCCATTGTCGGCACCTTCGAAAATGCCGCGCGTCAGACGGTAACAAGCCCATCCATTGTCTCGATTCTCAGGTCGCGTCATTCACGTCATTCCGGACGCTATGTTCTATTGGACCTACAGCCTCTTTTTCCGGGTGCTTGATCAGTAGATAATGTGGATGTTTCCCAAACCGTAGTCAGAAAATATTTCAATATGATCACTGTCGTCTCTGATCTTACGGACAGAGTCATCTACTGTCCTCACCACCAATGAATGTCACCTTGAAGAGACTAAGGAATTGTTTTATTTTTTATATAATCATGCTAAATCTACCTCATAAGTAAAAATATTTGTATAAGGTATACCATATTTTGTCCCAGGACACGCTGAAAGCAACAATCCGACAAGCTCCGCGAGTTGATTTATTTTACACCTTTTAAGTTTTATAAATGTAGTAATTTATTAGATTCAATATTGAACCCGAAATGCGCTAATGCGATAATACACTTTATTAAATTAATTTTGAAAATAAGCGAAGTTAACACTTTAAATGTAACAATATTTTCTCATTACGCACGTAGTCATTTCGTTTACGAGACCAGTCCTCCAGATATATGGTGGACATTTGGCTGTTGTGTGTATTTTAGTAAATCATTCCTCGTTTTAAATAAGGAAGGTACTTTCGAAAATATTTTACATTTTTATTGGTAAAATGAACGTTTTTAGTAAAAAATAGCCGGATAGACTGCTCCGAGCGCAGTGGCCCAGTACCGAGCCGCGGCGCAGAGGACCGCTGGTTAGAATCCCGCACGGAACCAGTATTTTGCATGGCCCACATTTAATGTTTCCCGTCCGGAGGAAAGTCCTTGGGGAACTCTTGCATTAAACTACCTCTATACACGGAAATTACAGGACAAAAGCCGAGTGTGTGGGCAATGTTATTTAATTCAAAAAAATTATTGAGGCAATTTAACACTTACCGAATGTAATATAAAATGCCGTTCCCAAGTTTTTAATATTATTATTTTAAATAAAATAGCTCGTCACTATGTTTTTAGTTAAGAATGAAGAACATTCTGCCATTTGGCTTGGGTGTCTAGACATTAATTGTTGGAAGTTATTGCCACAATAAGTAGTAAATTATTTATAATTTCATCAAACCGCAATCGTTCCGCGTCAGAGAAAGAGTGCCGGCTTGGTGGCTTGGTGCCGGTTGTTCCTGATGTTGAGTACTGATGAACTTAGGACTATAGGACCCTTATTCCACGACAGTATGATGCAGTCATTGGCAAGCAACCGTTGCTTTATAAGCAACGCCAGTTGTCCTGCGTACTTTGCCTAATATATAGATAGATATCGCGATGATCTCGAGAAGATTGTGAACGAAGCACCCACCTTAATTGGTGGGGGCGGGCGGTGGCAGTTTGGGTGCCGCTTGGCGCTTCTTCCGAGGCCACGGAGAATACCGAGGGCTAGTCGAGGCATGCTTTCAGACTTAGGCTTCTGGTTTTAGTAGTCTCGAGTACCTTTATTTTGTTGTTCATTGTTGTAGCGCCAATTTTTGTGCGGTTGGCCAGGATAAAGTATTAAACACAGAGCTCCTTACGGTATCTTTGTCTAAGCCTGATGTAGCTATATGTTGCAGACGAATACTTAATTCGCAGTGTATGTCTGAACCAAAACCTCTATCACAGAAGAACAGTTTTACAGTGGTAGAGCCACGAGGCAACTCTTGCTGTCGCACGGATGGGCCGGCTCGAACCGGGGTACCACGACCTCACAGAAAACCAGCGTGAAGTAGCGGTTTACCTCTGCGTTTCGCTTGGTGAGTGCAGGTGGCCGGAGGCCCTTTTTACTGGAAATGAGG